TGCCCATCCCACTGTTGGATAATCGTGAGGGAATTTTTCCTAACATCAGACTTAAACCTGCCTCTCTTCTAACTTCCCACTACTGATCCCAGCTGTGTCCCCTAGGACCAAGTGGAACAAGGCTGATCCCTCTTCCAGGTGACACCTCTCCAAGCATTTGAAGTCTTCTCTCCAAGCTAAACACCCCCATTTCTTTTGACTGGTCCCATTTGTAATATATTCTAGCAGTAATAATAGCTGGCGGCTGACATTGGCCGGGGAGAAGCTATTCGGTGACTCACCACCCACCCTCTCAGCCTTCTCTTCCTCCCTCTCGAACACACACACACACACACACACACACACACACACACACACACACACAGAGGAGATGGCAGCAGTGGTGGGGGACTCAGACTCCTGGGACCCAGGCACATTCTCATGGAGAATCCAGTGTGGGAGGCGGGGGCATGGCTGGCAGAGACTGCTGGGAGGGTGGGATGAAGATGAGGATGTCAAGAAAAACTGATGATGAAGAAAAAACAGAGGGCCCAGAGATAAGACCAGAAACGAAAATTTCGGAAAAGAAAAAAATGGAGAAAATGAAAGAGAAAGAAGAGCAGCAGAAGAAAAGACAAGAAATTAAGAAAAGGTTAGAAGAGTCTGAAGAGCTCATACCATCAAGAACAATGAGCAGGTAAACTGCAGCTAAAGAAACTAGAGGAAGAGGCAGACCTTGAATTAGCAAGAGAGACCTTTGGCGTTAATAACACGATCTGTGGTACAGATGCCATGAACCTGTCTTCTAGAGATGACTTCCCAGAGGTTGACAAGTTCCTAAAAGATGAAATCTCAGTGTGAAAAATCTCTACATTCTGCCAGTTTCTTGGAAGCCTTAGTTGAAGATGTGTGTATTTCATTGGAAACTGATGACTTGAAAAAGATGACCAATTCATTGTTAGCGCCGTGCAGGGGAGAACGGAAATAAGGAAAGCTAGCCTCCCCTCTCCTGCCCCAGAAGAGAGGCGGGGTTCCCCGAGGGGAGGGGTGGGCTGCAGGCTACAATGGAAGATGATCTTGCAGACTATAGTGACCGCAGTGGAGGATGGTGCAAGACTTTGAAGACTTTCATGTGACACATCATCATCTTCTGTCGTTCACAGTCACTTCAACATGTAGCACACTTTTTTTTTTCGGTTCTACTAAATGCTGCCATCAAAAGTGCAGTAGCTTTGTGCTGGTTGCTTAGCCCCTTGAAACTTAGATGCTAATGCAATGGGGAACTTAGTTCTTGTTGCCAAGGGGCAGGAAACTCAGTTGTTAGTAAATGATAGTAAAAGAAATCCCCATAAGGATGTCATTGTTGCTAATGGTAGCAGAACCACTAAATTGGAAACAGCTGCAAAATGACAAAAGCCAAAACCATAACAAAACTATGTGGCATTTCCCGGAGGCATTCAGTAATGCAACCTTGACCATGCGTCTTTGAACTAATTCATATCTTGTCAACAAAAGGGTGTGTGAGTGTGCACCAGGTATGGAAATTGCTTTGGCTTAAGGTGGAATGTGAGGATTTAAAAAAACGCATTGCACAGAATCCAGCTTATTTCAGAGTAAGGATACTGTACCTGGAATGGCTAGTCATTTGACATTTTAAAAATTATGTGACTAAAAACTTGAAGCTGAAGAGGTAACGTCTCCATTATTGAATCTGACAAAATCCAACTTGTGGTATACTGAGTTTAAACAGTCAAGCTTATATTTATTGGAATATTTCTACTGATGCAGATCTTGACAGGCGTTGGGGGGGGGGACTACTTTACCTTTTTTATTTGCTTGATTTAAAATGTCTGACGAACAAAACCTCCTTTATTCTAGGCTGCAAAAGAACAACTTTCACCTGGTTTGGGCATTTCCTTTCCTTTACAAACATGCTTAACAAACTGCAAACAGTTACTACGGTTTGATAAATTGTTATATTAACAATTATGACGTCTGCAATGTTTTACAAAGTAACTAAATTAACAAAATCATTTGTTACCGGGATTTTACCGAGCCAGTCTCTAAGCTGAGAATGATGAAACAGCAGGCTAGAGACAAAGTGCCAGTAATCAGGTAGCCGTTTAATTAATTAGTTTCATTATGAAGAACAGATTTGCGAATTGGGAATTCTTTTGATCAGAATTCCACCCTGCTGAAGTGAAGACAGAGACTATATACATAAATCACAAATGACAAGGGGGGAGGAAGGTGGATTACCAACAATTGTTCCCCGGGGCCAGAGTGGTTTCCCGTGAAAAACCCACAAATGGAAGACAGTACAACAATTCTGGAGTCCTGTGGAGCAATACTGCTCAAGTCCTTAGGGGGCCTTACTTGGGTCACAGGGCCAGAATTTGGTGATGGGAACAGGTTCTTCCTTCTGTGATTCACTTCCTTCAGGTACAAAGGCAGAAGAATGCTGGTGATTGTGAAACTTGTCAAGGTCTGATGGATTGGTTGAAGCTCCATTGTGAATTTGACTCACAAGCTGGAAAAGGCAATTCTGCAAAATCTGATCTATTAGTATATTCATTACACATATCATATTGATTAATATGAAAATCAGAATTCCCTCCACACACTATTGTGAAGACTTAAAAATAAGTAATAGCTAGCATTTATATAAGATTTGCAAAGTGCTTTCCACTCATTCAATCCTCACAACAACCCTATAAGGTAGGTGCTATTATCCCCATTTATAGATGAGGAAATTGAGGCACAGAGGTTAAATATCTTGCCCAGGATCACACAGCTAGAAGTATCTAATGCAGGATTCTGACTCACTTTTTCCAGTCTCCAAGTCCTTCACTCTATCCACTGCCCCACCTAGCTGACTGGGGGAGCTAGGGAAGAGTTTTCAGTCCTCTTCTCCATTCTAGCCATCCTCTAGATGACTCTATCCTGTTGATGTACTATCTAAAATGGGACATTTAAGACTAGAAACAATACTTCAAAAGGTGCTTGACCACCAGGATAGAAGCTCCATGGTGAGTGGTGAAAAGAGTCCTGGTCTTGGGAGTCAAGAGTCCTGGATTTGAATCCTGTATCTGCTGCTGTGACCTTAGGCATTTGTGGCACAAGTTGAATGAATGGTTCCCTATAACTCTGAGATTCCATGATTTCCTCTGAGGTCTTCTTTCTCTGGGCTTCAGATCTCAGGTCTGTGAGGGAATGGTTGTTAACCTCCCTCCCTTCAATGGCTGATCTTCCATAGTGCTCTGTGTCATTCTGACTTGTTAGGGTAATCAGAGTGAACACTTTTTCTGGGAGCTTGAGGGAAGCAGAGCTTCTAGGACCTCTGGGTTCTCTGTTCTGGGATGAAGAAAACCTGATCTAGCTTCCAGACTTCCCAGTACGCTTGATTTTCAGAACCACGGATAGCTCCCAAACCCCTTCTGGTCACCTCCAGAGGGCACCCCTAGCTAAGAGTTTCCTGGAGTGTGTTCAGGTCAGTCTTCCTGTGGAGAGGTCATTCCAGGCCTGTCCTGTAGGTGGCTCCCTGGTGTGTGTGTGTGTGTGTGTGTGTGTGTGTGTGTGTGTGTGTGTGTGTGTGTGTGTGTGTGCGCGCGCGCGCGCGCGTGCCAGGTTTGTGAGTCCTAGGGTGAGGTCCTACGGTGATCCTGTTTTTTCCCATGGATCTGAATAATATTCCTTTCCCTGCACAGCCTTGAGTCTCCCCCCCTCTATTACCCTCCATTCACTCACCCCACCCCCCCAACCTTCCTGTGACCCTCACATCCTTCAAGGTAGTGAAAGCAGTCCTAGGCTTGGAATCAGACAACCTGGTTGAGAATTTTGGTTGTGCTACTGCCTTGGGGAAATCACTCCTCTGAGCCTCAGCTCTCCCATCTGTGAAAGGAGGGGCATAGATCAAATTATCCTTAATATCCCTTTCAGCTTTGAAACCTCTGGGTCTCCCATCTCTTTCTAGATCTTTTATGGAAAGAGTCGTCTGCATTCTTCTGCTTCTTCATTGCTTCTCCCTTCTCAGAATCTGGTTTCCACCCCCACAATAATATCGAAGCAACTCTCTGTCAGGTCTCCAATTAGCTCTTAATTGCCAGATTCAGTGGACATTTTATCACTCCATATCTTTGATCTCTTGAACAGCATCAGAGCTGAGGGTCGGGAGGAGAGGGGCCTTAGAACATGGAATGTCAGGGCTGGGAGGGGCCTTAGAACATGGAATGTCAGGACTGGGAGGGGCCTTAGAACATGGAATGTCAGGACTGGGAGGGGCCTTAGAACATGGAATGTCAGGACTGGGAGGGGTCCTAGAACCAATATCAGAGCTGGGAGAGGAGCATAAATCCTAGAATGTCCAACTCGGATGGATCTTGGTCGGTACTATACTATATATTCTCTATAGAATATCAGAGCTGGGGATGGAGGTACCTAAACAACAAATATTCCTAACCTTAGAATATAGAAAGTCAGAGCTGAGAGTGGGGTCTGGGGGTACCTTAGAACGGAATGTCAGAGTTGGAAAAGACCTTAGAAGTGACCTTGTCCAAATTCTCATTGCAGGTGGACCCAGCACCTAGTCCAACACACATTTATTAAGCCCCAGGGAACAGCTTCTGCCCTCCGGGAGCTTACATTCCTCTGGAGGTTTGGCTGCTAGTTCTACAAAGAACTGGATTACAGAGCAGGGAATGACGGGGCCGAAGGGGGGGGGCGCAGAGAAATGGAGCCCTAACCAGGGGTGGGGGAGAGCAGGGAATTCATTATGGCACGAGCGGCACCTGAAGGAAGCTGGACAGGAAGAGAAGGGTTCTGAGAAGCAGAGACGAGTTAGTGGCAGGGCGAGGACTAGATCTCAGACAGCTTGCTCTGCTCCCAGCTCCGGACTCTTCTTCCTTGCCCTCGGGCGCCGTTTGCTCCCGCAGCTCTTGACTCGAGGGCGTTATCGCCTCCCTCTACTCCAGGGGATCCTCGCGTTCCGCACTCCCCCCTCCCAACTAGCTTCCAGGGCACCTCCCTCTTCTGGCTCTCCCACCTGTCTGGAGCATCCTTCGGGCTCTGCCCACTCGATGTGGGCGTCCTGGGGCCGCTCCTTTCTCATCCCGATCTCGCTTGAGGATACGGCTCAGTTGGCGGCCTTAACGCCCTGGGGCCCTGACTGAGGCCGGTGTGTAGGACTGGCTGACTGGGGCTGGGCGCCCCAGGAGGGAAGGAGTTAACTCCCCCCACCCTTCCCCTCCCGGGCGAGCCAGCGATATTTAAGAGGCGGCATCGGCAGCTCTAGTCGGTCAGTTCTTCCATCCTTCCTCCCCTCCGGCACGCAGGCAGGTCCGTCTGTCCGGCTGGCAGTGGGATTCCGGGGCTCAGCCGCACCCAGCGGGACGTAGGAGCCCTGCCCCCCAGGCCGGCCATGCGGCCCCCGGGAGTACCGTTTGCTTGGCTCACGCTGCCTCTGCTTGTACAGGCGGCCCCCGATGGTGAGAGGCCAGAGGGCCACCCCTCCCCCAGCTCCCCACCCCAATCCGAGCCCTCCGTGATCTCCACTTTTCCCTCTGTCTGTTCTGTCCCAGACTCAGTGAGTGCGCGCTCCGAGTTTGGTTTTCTTTCTCTTTTCTCCGACACTTGTCTCTCAGTCGGTCTCTCTCTGTCTGTCTAGATTTCTATCTCTGTCTCATTGAGTCTCTCTCTGTCTCTGTCCCCCCCCCCCCCAGACATGGGGCAGCATTGTGGCATGTGGGTATTCTTGCTGAGCTCCCAGGGCTTTGCAAGAGCCAGGAGCCTCTTCCTTAACACCCCACCCCCTTCTTCTGGGTTGCTTCAGCCCAATGTGTCCCTTCTGGCCCTGTGGGTCCCTCCCCCATCCCTTCTTCCCAGCTCCCCTCACAGCCCTCCCTTCTCTCACTCTTTTCCTAAGGCATCCTTGAGCCCAGGGCAGATCACACCTTCCTGCTGGGCTAGAGCAGCTGGACTGGAAGGACCTTCCATTTGAACCTGTCAGTCTCTGTGTCTATCTCTCTGGCAGGAGGTGGGGGTGGGGTGGGGGAGAAGGCAGCCACTCAAGGACAGGGACAGAGGCAGAAAAACAGCCTGACTGACAACAGATCGGTAGAGACACAAGGACTTCTTCTGTGTGGGGCCACCTCTCCCCCAGTCTAGGAGAGAACATGTGTGTGTGGGACAACTTCAGCTCTACCCCCCCCCCATATGTCTCCTACAGGCTCTTGGTGCTATGATTCCCAGAATCCTCAATGTGGTGAGTAGAAAGATGGTGGGGGTGTCAGTGCAAAGGGAGGGGTGCGTGTATGTATGTGGGGGGGACTTACAGACAGGCAACTTTAGACTGGAAGTCAAGGAAAACTTCCTCCCAGTGACAGCTTCCCAAAAGGGGACTCAGCCACTTCTGGAGATGGTGAGTTGGCCCTCACTGGAGGTTGGAAGGCCAGCAGAGGAGAATGTTGTTAGTTAAGGGGATTCCTGTGCAGACAAGGGTTGAATTGGTTGACCTCTGGAGGTTCAGTTGTGTTGTGACTCTGTCACTTTGTGTGTGTGTGTGTGTGTGTGTGTGTGTGTGTGTGTGTGTGTTCAGCAGGCAGGGCTACATTGCATTGTGTGTGGAGGTGTTGGGAGGGTGGGTGCACAGACTTCTGTGCAATGTGAATGAGCTAGCAGGGGCCACCTCGGGCACCTTCCTAAGCTGGGGCTCTGTGAGGCTCTCCATGTATCCTGCTGAGTTCCTAGGTGGCCATGGAAGGACTAGAGAAAGCTGATGAACCAGCCAGGCTTTGTGCAGCTTGGGCCATAGTGATCAGCTCCTCTCTGCTGTGCCCCGAACTGTCTTTCCTTTCTCCCCCTCTGCCTCCAGGCCCTGCCCATTGGAAGGATGTAGCCCATACCTGTGGGGGCTCGGCTCAATCGCCCATCGACATTGACCGGCATCAAGTGAAGCTGGACCCGGGCCTGGGCCCTTTTATATTCGAAGGATATGACTCAGCACCCCCAGGTCCCTGGCAGCTCCTGAATGATGGACACACTGGTCAGTCATCCCCAACAGGCAGAGACACATAGGTCAGACCCTGGAAACCCTGATGGAGGAAGGTGGGCAGGGGAGTCAATCGCTGCCCCCCCCATTTATGTATTCAGTCACTGTCAGCTCATAATTGAGCCCCTACTACATGAAAAGCCTTGGTGGACGACAAAGACTTTTTTCCTTTAAGGTTGGGGGTCTTGGTCCTCCAGGGACTCACAGACAAGTTTAAGAGACACCACAGAATTAGCGCAGAGTAACACCAGCTAGACTGGTGAGTCCCTGATGATGAGTCTGGAGAGTGAAGAGCTGGCTGAGCTCAGGGAAGCCTGAGAGCCTTGGCTGGAGAATCAGGAGATAGGTTCTAGTCCAAGTTTGGCAGTCCCTGGAACTCCTCCTGGTCTGCGTCACATTATCCCCTCTTGTCCCTGTGGCCCCCAACCCCACAGTGAGTGCTCAGAACCCAAGCCTTTTGAGGGCCTCAGTTTCTCTTGATGACCAGCTGTATAATCTAGGTGAGTCACTGCCCCTCTCTGGGCATTTCCACATTTCCCAAAATTCAATTCAACAAACATTTAGTAGGTGAGACACCCCCCTCCCACCTTGAAATATCTTTATCATCTGTCTATCTATCTATCTATCTATCTATCTATCTATCTATCTATCTATCTATCTATCTATCTATCTATCTTTGCACCTATCCAGTCTGTGCACATTCAGTAGAATTATAAGCAGAATATAACCCCCTTCAGGACAGGAACAATTTAATTTATGTATCCTCAGCACTTAGGAAATGCTTGTTGATTTGAATGGAATTAAATGCCTGCTATGATCAAGGTGTTGTATGGGGAGGTGGGTTCAAGGTTCCTCCCAGTGGTCCCTCTACGACTGAAGAAAGTTTCATGGAAATGCTGGGGCCAGCACTGGGTTTGAGGGGTGCTAATGATTCAGGAAGATCCATGAGGGGAGGTTTCAGGCACAGCCACGTGTTTCTGACCCTACCCTCACATGTGTACTTCCAGATGACTCTAACCCAGCAGAGTTTGTATGGAGAGGTGGGATGGTGGGTGTGTGTGTGTGGGGTGTGTGTACGTGTGTGTGTGTGTGTGTGTGTGTGTGTGTGTGTGTGTGTGTGTGTGTGTGTGTGTGTGTGTAGGGTTTCAGGGCATCCCATAGAACCAAGGCAAGTCCTACACCACACTGACCCCTGAATGTACGGTGCCCCCCTTCCTCCAGTGCTGCTGAACCTGGGTGGGGTCCAGGGCCAAGCCCAGGGCCAGCTGTGCATCCGGGGAGGAGGCCTGCCCCACATCTACTGTGCCCTGCAGCTCCACTTCCACTGGGGCAGCCCCACAAGCAATGGCTCTGAACACACTCTGGATGGGCAACGTCAGCCTATGGAGGTGAGGGCCCTGGGGCTGGGGACTGGGACAGGGGACAGTGGGTACAGATTCCATGACAGAGGGACACAGAGTTCTCTCACTTTAAGCAAACCCAGTGGGTTTCACCCAGCCAGCCCCATGGGCTGTGTCTGTGTCTCCTCCAGATGCACGTGCTCCACATTAACACCCTCTACCAGAGTTTGGAGGAGGCCCGGGGCCATCCTGGCAGTTTGGCTGTGTTAGCCTTCCTGTTCAAGGTACGGGGAAGGCTGGGAATGGTCTGCTGGTATCTGCTACTCACTTGCAAGGAGAGGGGGAGGGCATGAGAAAAGCAGGTGAGGCAATTGGGTAGGAGAGAGTCTATGTGGGGGGACTGAGCCAAGGGAGAGAGACAGAGAAAGAGAGAAAGGGAGAGAGAGAGAGAGAGAGAGAGAGAGAGAGAGAGAGGAGAGAGAGAGACAGACAGACAGACAGACAGACAGACAGACAGACAGACAGAAACAGTGACAGAGAAAAGAGAGGGGAGGGAAAAAGAGAAAGGGAGGGAAAAAAGGAGAGAGAATAAGAGAGAGAGAGAGAGAAGAGAAGAGAAGAGAAGAAAAGAGAAGAGAAGAGAAGAGGAGAGGAGAGGAGAGGAGAGAGAGAGAAAGGGAGGGAGAGAGAGTAGGAAGGAGGGAGGCAGCCCATGAATGAATGAATGAATGAATGAATGAATGAAAGGGCATGTATCATGACTGTTTGCCAATGAGGCCCATCCTGCCTTCCCTCGGCAGGTGCAGAATGAGAACAATACCAACTACAACACCATTGTGTCTGGGCTGAGGAACATTTCTCACCAGGGTGAGGGCTTTAGAAGAAATGGGGCAGGGAGCCAGGGGCCAGCAGTAAGGAGGTGAGGTGGGGGCAGCTGGGGAGAGGGGCAGGGAGGGAGGGCGGGAGGGATGGCCTGGGCACATTTTGCCTCTCCATCTCTGCAAACAGGGGAGTCTGTGGAATTGGCATCTACCTTCCGCCTGGACAAGCTGCTGCCTGGCCATGCCCTCCTCTCTCGATACTACCGCTACCCTGGGTCTCTGACCACACCAACTTGTGATGAGGTCGTCCTCTGGACCATCTTTGAGGAGCTTGTCCCCATTGGCAAGGCTCAGGTACAGGGTCACATCCCGCCCTGCCCCTCCCTCAGCTGCCTGTCACTCATCTCTGGGAGGAGGCTGGGGGCTACACCCAGTGTAGGTGTCGGGGCAGCGGCTCCCCTCCTGAGTGTCTGACCTGCAGGAACTTTCTCCCCCCTTCCAGCTGGCCCAGTTCGTGTCCACCCTTCAGGACAGTCTCCCTGGCGCTCAAGCTGTCAGCCTGATCAACAACTTTCGCCCAGCCCAGACAATTGGGGCCCGAAGGGTCTCGGCCTCCCCGGACACCACCGTCAGCAGTGCCCCGCCCTTCTCCCTTCTGACAGAAACGTGGGCCCTGCTCTGCCTGCTCCTCAGCACAGGGTGGGGGCCTGACTCGGCGGGAGCACCTTGACCCTCTTCATACTTGTCCTGGCCTAGCCCTTCCCCACTCTCAGTGTTCCTGAGAGTGCTCCCTACGGGGGTGTCAGTGTGGGCGGCCAGAGCCTGGAGCCGAGGAAGTGCTGGGGACCATCATCGGTGCTTGCTGTGTGACCTTGGGGAAATTGGTTGGATTCTCTGGGCCCCAACTTCTTCATCAATCAAATGGGGAGAAACCCCTGCTCTACAGGCTCACCAGGCTTGTTGAACATCAAATTCAATGGTGGATATGAAGGGTCTTGGGGAGTTCCACGACCACTAGAGATGCAGTGAGATATGATGGGCGGGCTGCCCAAGGCCAGGGGCTGAGAAGGCTTTCCCCTCTCTGGGCCTCAGCATCTTCCACTCTCACAAACACTTCTAGGTTGGTTTCTAGGTTTCTAAAGTCTTTCCAAGTTTATATATGCCTAGGGTTACAGAATCCAAAGCTGGAAGGGACCTTAGGGTTTATCTAGTTCAACCCTCACATGATACTCTGTTCTAAGGCCCCTTCCAGCTCTGACATCCCCTATTCTAAGGTTCCCCTCCTAGCTCTGACATTCGCTGTTCTAAACTTCCCCCCAGCATTGACATTCCATATTCTAAAGCTCATCCCAGCTCTGACATTCCCTGTTCTTAGGCCCTTCCCATCTGACATTCCTTGTTCTAAGGCTCTTTCCAACTCTGACAATCCCTGTTCCAAGGGCCCTTCCAGCTCTGACATTCTGTTCTACAGCTAATTACACTCCCTCCCCTCTTATGTTTATCCTATGGCTTCAGCCATGCCAACCCCCTCCTGGGCTTAGCCATACCTGCCTTCTTTCTTCCCCACTACCCTACAGGTAATGCCATCCCTTCCTTACAGCACCCCACTCCCTTCCTCATCCTCCATCCTTACTGGTTCTCTACAACATCCCCCCAAGCACAAGTTACACTAGCCCTTCCAGGGCCAGTGCTCAGTGCTGCTTATTCCAATTCTGTGCCCTGTGAGCTGCCAGGATTGCAGCTTGGGCTTGTGTATTCCCCCACCCTTCCCCTCTGCCCCAGGGGCTGGGCCAACACGGAGGAGAGGCCAAGTTTTGTTAATAAACTCCATTTATCAACTGATGACTTCTTACAGACTTCATTTCCAAGGATGGGGTGAGGGCATGTGAAATCTTCTGGGATCAGATTTGTGAGTCTGGGTGAAGATAAGGGTCTAGGCACCAGTGCCCAGTGTGACCAAGAAGCTGGGCAGTGCTGGCCAGTGAGAGGCTGATAATCTGGGCAGTGCTGGCTCCAGTGAGTTCCAGGGTCTAGACAATCCAAGGTGCTGGCTGGTCAGAGGCTGACATTCCCCAGTCACAGCTGCTTGGTATGTGGCTGACACACCTGATTTTCTCAGGCCCTGCCTCCTCTTCCAGTCTCAGCAGGAACTAAATATAAGTCCAGTAGTAAGAGTCTGGGTAGAGACCACCTGATTTTCCACCCTCTGAAGGTTCCTCCCCTCTGTGGCAGGCATCAAATGCCCCAAGCACACCCTGAAGGAGGACATGGAGGCTTACAAAGACAAGTGACTCTGGCAGACACAATCCAGGCCCTTTGACTCCAAAGCCAGCATTTCATTCCATCCACATTTAGGGTAGGGTGATTGGCATGGGCCCCTGGGGCTCAGGGTAGTAAGAGTTAGGGCAGGGATGGCCCCTAGCCACACAGTCACTGTCCTGGGCTCCACTTGTGTCTGTGGCACAAACACTGACCTGCCCCAAGGCATCCCCACTCTTCCTGATTCTCTTGGAAAGACTGGGCGGAATGAAGGTCATAGGAGACCAAATTAGGGCTTACCTGGTCACCTGGAATGGAAGCACTGAATCCTACCCACCCTCCACTATCTTTAGGTATATGAATCTCAGACTAGTCCTGTCTCTTCTCTGGGACTCATTTCCTTAACTGCAAAATGGGGACAATAATCCTTGTAGGGCTGCTTCAGAGCCCTGGAGAGAGGGGAGGGGAAGAAGGCCATGCTCTCTTTTCCTTCCAGAAATTTAGTCCCATGAGTCAGAATGCCTCTGGTTTCTAAGGGCTCTTTGGCATACAGAGCCCACACTTTGCTCCCTTTCTCTTGGGCTTCCCAGGCCCTGCTAAGGTCCCTGAGCCCAGGCCCTTCAGGGTTGGGCCAAGGGGAAGGGGTCCCGGCCCTTTTCAAGCCTCCACATAATGGTGTGGGATGTGCCTATAGAAATGCCTCCGCTTGACATCAGAGGCCAGGTAATCTACCTCCAAACCACTTCAGCCTCACTTTGGCTCAGTATGAACCACTGGCATGGGTGGGGAGGGGGTGCCCTTTTCAGGCACTGTATCTTGGCACAGGTTTCCCCCAGCTCTGGGATGCTCTCCCTTCACAGACAATCATAGGCTCATAGACCTCTCCTCTGAGCAGCCTTCCTTGCCGGTCCTCAGATGGTGACAATGACGTCTCTGCTGGGGCTCCTCGGGCACACAAGCCCAGCCCTCTCCTTAGTACTGATCTCATTCTCCCTTGCATTCCAGTTACCTGGGTATCTGGCCTGTTTCTTAGATCAGAAGCTCCTTCAGGGCAAGGCCAGTGTGGTGTCGGCTTTTGGCAATACATACAGTGGTCGGTGGGTCCATAATAAATCTTTGTTGAGTTAAATTAAGTTTGTGCAGCCCATTCTTCACAATAGCTGCGTTTTACAGATGAGAAAACTGAGTTGGGGGGGCAGGGCCTGCTTACCTAGGTTCTTGACGTCTACTGATGAGGGCAGGAGCCCCTCAGTCTCCTTCGGGCGGTGGGCCAGTGGTAGGGGGCGCCAGCGACCTCTTCGGAGTTTTCTTTTCGGGAGGCTCGGCTCCTGCTTTGGGGGACGTGGCGGCCGTCAAGGCGTTGACGGCGCCTATAGCCCGCAGCAGTGCCTGGCCTCGGGCGGGGGCTTGGGCCGGAGCCGGGACTGCAGACGCGTCCTTGCGGGGACCAGAGGGCTCGGGGCCTGCTTTCAGGGAGGTGGAGGCAGTCAACGCATTGACCGTGTTGATAGCTCGCAGCAGCGCCTGGCCGCGGGTGGGGACCAGGGCCGGGGCAGGCGGCGCGTCCTTGCGGAGACCAGGGGGCTCAAGGCTTGCTTTCGGGGAGGTGGAAGCAGTTAGCGCATTGACCGTGCCAATGGCCCTCAGCAGCGCCTGGCCGCGGGTCGGGCCCGAGCCTGAGGCTAGGAGCGCGTCTTTTCGGGGTCCCGCGGGGGGCCGGCGGCGGCCTGCGGGCCCGTCTTGCTGGGGCTCCTGCGGCTGCGGGGCCGGGCGGCCCCAGGGCTTCTCGCAGCGCGGCCAACTCGGCAGCCAGCTCGGCTCGTAACGCCCCGAGGCCGGCGGTGAGCTCTGCGCGCAGCCCCGCCAGGCCTGCCTGCAGACGTTGCTCGCTCACCTCCAGCACGCCCGCTGGGTACGTGGCGCCGCCGCGGGGCTCCCCGCACACGGAACACACGGAATACGCGGAGCCAGGGGAAGCTGGTCCGGGTGCGGGGCGTCCGGCCGCGCCAACGCGCTCCACCAGCTCCACCAGCCGCGGCCCCGACGGCTCTTCCCGGCCGCCTCCTCGCGCGCCCCCAGGTCCGGCCGCCTGCGCCCGCAGCTGCCCGCGTAGACGCGCCAGGCGGCCAGCGCCCCGCGACTCCTCGCCGCTTTCGAGCCCCGGCTCCGCCTCCTTCCGCCGCCCAGCCGGGGCCCGTCTAAGCCCCGGTCCCGGGACGCCCGGCCTGGCCGCCTCCCCGACCCCGATCGCTACCCCAGCCCCAGCCCCGGCCATGTGCCCCAGCTTTAGCCTTCACCTCTGTTCGTCCCGGTGAAGTGCGCAGCCCTGGGGGCTCTACCTCTGCCAGCAGCGACTCGAGGCTCCCGAGCCTCTCCCGGGAGCCCCGGGGCCAGGGGCGGAGCCGGGAGAGCCAGCCCGGAGCCCCGCAGCCTTAACAACCGGTCCCCGCGGCCTGGGGCCCGAGGGACAGGCTGTGGGAACCACTGTGTGAAGGAGGGGCACAAGGGTACCAGGTGCGGGTGGGGAGAAGCGAGCCCCGGGGGTGGGGAGCGGGGTCCAAGCTTCAATCTCAATCTCACTCCTATGTCATCCTATGTCACCTTGAGCAAGCCCCTTCCCTCCTCTGGGCCTCAGTTTTCTCCTTTTTAAAATAAGGGATTTGGAGTTGAATCCTAGGTCCAGGGCTGGAAGGGACCTCGGAGGCAACGTGATCGGACCTCCTCCTTTATAGCTGAAACCGAAGCTCAGGGAGATACTTGACCGAGGTCATACAGAAAGGTTGGAGGGCAGATCTGAACCCAGATGCACTCAGGTGAAGGTGACTACAGGACCCAGGGTCCCTCTCTCAGGGCCACCAAGAAGGGGGACTTTTGTGGGGAAAGGTAGCCCGAGGAACAGGCTGTGAGAACAGTGAAGGGAGGGATGGGGTGTGGGAGAGGAAACCTTTTCGGAGTTCCTGGATAGAAAAGAATCTTATGGGGAGGATGGACTCTGTCGCCCCCAAACATTTACCAATCCCTCAAATACTTTCTGGTGCCGTATCTCATTTGATCCTGAAATTAACGGGATTGGGGGGGGAGTAGGCTGGGGAGGAGGAGGGAGGAGGGGCTGGGGAGGAATGATTGTCTCCATTTACTGGCTTCAGAGTCAGTCAGAGGACCAGCGAGATCTTAGAAGCCATCTTAGAGGCCAGCTCCCCCCTTTTACAGAAGAGGACTCGGGAGAGAGGACGCGACTTACCTAAGGTAGCTGGGGCAAAGACAAGTTTCTTTGATACCGGGTCCTCTGACTCGAAAGCCAGGGCTCTCTCCAAGGTACCACTCTGGTTAGCGCCAGTCGAATCCAGTTCTAATTCAGATAATTCCCAGTGAATTCCCAGTCACTTCAAACAAGGGCAAATTTGGGATCATAAGACCATAAATTTAGAACTGAAAAGGACCTTAGAGGACTTTAGTTTACCCCTTCATTTACTAGAGGAGGAAGATGAGGCATAGAGTAGCAGTTCTGCCATCACCACCCAGACAGGGGGATTTGCTTGGAGTCACATGACTAAGATCATAAATGTAGATCTGGAAAGCACAGGAGAGACCATCTAGTCAACCCCTTTATTTTACAGGTGAGGAGACTGAGGTCCAGGGACGTTGTGACTTGCCCAAGATCATATAGGTATTAAGTATTAGAGGCTAGATTTGAACACAAGTCCTCTGACTCCAAACCGTTACTCTTCACTCTTTCATGCTATGTCACTTGTCTGAAATGCTGCAGAGGGTCTTTCCATTCAGTATGACCTATACTACATGATCTCATTGGGCCTTTCTAGCTCCAGGCATCAGGGAGCTGAGGCTCAGATCCAACTCCTCCAACACCTGGTCTCTGACCTCTCTTTGCACCAAGATGCTTCTTATCTACCCTGGGGGTCCTATTGAGGTTGCAGAGCCCTTTGATGGCTGAGAACAAGCAGGGATTTTCCTCTCTTTCTCAGCCTCCCCCTCTCCCCTAGTTGTGCTCAGCCCCAGCCCAGCCCAAGTACACTGGGGACTTGGGCGGGGGGGGAATCTCTGAGGTGTATGTAAGATAATGAGATGGAGAACTTAACAAACACTCCTCCCTTTACACATCAATGAGCTCTGGCCCCTCCAGAGCTGGCCCGTTGAGAGCTCTGGGGCTTATTATAGGGAGCCTGGCGTTGCTGGCACCATGTTGGAGGCCCTTCTCTGGGAATTACCTACAGGGCCAGGTTAGGAGCAGTACAAGAAATTGTTCTCCCCGTTGTAGAGTTAGCAGAGCCTGGACAAGCATTCAGCTCTGGTGCACTCCCACCACTGCATCTGCCTCTCCCCCCCCCCATCCCCAGCTCATAAAGCTCAAGGCTTTGGGGCATAGCTTCCAGCGAAATAGAAACTCCCTGAGGGCAGGACCTGTTTGGGCTTTGGCTCTGTATCCCCACTATCTGCAGAGTGCCTGGTGCATCTTTGTTGTTTTTGAGTAATTTCTCACGTCTGACTCTTCCAACTGCAGTTGGGATCCCTGAGCATTCCTGAAATTCTTCAGGGAGTCTTTGAAGTCAAAATTATCTTCCTAGTAATACTAAGATGTTTAAAATGTCTAATATTATAAGTATCAAATAGACATAATCTGCATAAACAAAAGCTCTTGGAGGGGGTGGGATTCCTCACTAATTTTTAAGAGTGCAAAGGGCTCCTGAGACCAAAAAGTCTGAGAACTGCTGACCTAGTCCAACCTCCTTTATTTACCTTTTCATTTTTTTTTATTTTTTACTTTATTTATCTTAAATCTTATTTTTGGGGGACATCTTTTGTTTCCTATCATTTTCATTTTCTAATACTTCTCTCCCCTCCCCAATCCAATTAGCCCTCCCTTGTAGAATACAAAAGAAAGAGTAAAAACTTTGGCAAGGCCAATCAACAGATCAATGGGTGTATTCTGGATGTATATGGACAGTATATAGTGTTCCAGGCTCATAGTCCTGCAAAGAAGGACGAGAGGTACATTTTCTCAACTCTTTTTCCATTCTTCTCATTTTATTAGATGAATTACAGAGTCAGAAAGGCCTCTAGTGGCCATTGAGACAAACCCATACATTCAGTCAAGAGTAATCCCCATTAGCACATGCCTCCTACAGTTGTCATCCAGCTTCAACCTGGAGACTTCAAAGGAAGGAGATGCCACCATTTCTGGGGGTAGTGCTCATGGTTCAGAAGATTTTCCCAAGATGAAGCCTAGATTTGCTTCTATAACTTCTACCCATTGAGTTTCAGATTGGAAAACTGAGTCTCAGAAAGGAGAAGAGACATGCCCAAGGTCATGCAGGGAGTCATGATTGAAATTCAGCTCCTTGGACTCTGTAGTCTAGAAGTCTTTCCAGGACACTGTGCTTGACTCATCGCTTTGGACCATTGAGAGCAAAACTGCCTGGAATATATCTAGGAAATAAATAAATGTCTAAGAAAAGCTGTAAGTCATAGAATCATGGAGTTAGGGTTGGAAGATACTGTAGAGGCCAGAAAGTTAAATCCTTTCATTTTAGAGATGAAGAAACAGAGGTACTGAATTCAAGAGTTGGAAAGCACCTCCTCCCCACTATAACATACTGAGGAAACCGAGGTGTATGGAGTTTAAGTGACTTGCTCAGGGTCACTCAGCTAGTAAGTATCTGAGGTAAGATTTGAACCTAGGTTTTGCTGACTATGAATCTTGTACACTAATGTGACACTGGGTCCCATTTGTATGAATACTTTCAGTCAATAGAAAGGATCATGGCTCCCCACCACAAAGGAAATATATAGAAGTAGTCTGAATGTGCTCTAAAGAGGAGAGCAGGGCTTTCTGTCATATATGGCTAGAAACAAGTATGCCCAGCATGCCTATGGGGGATTGTAGCTTGCAGAGCGTGCGCTTCAGGAGGGGCTCTCATTGGCCAGTCTCTGGTTACATAAGTGCTATTAACCTCCTAGCATCCCTTCTCTCCCCTGACTCTGCCACCCCCCAGGTGCAGGCCCTCATCCCCTCACAGCCCCAACTATGACAACATCTGCTGGGGGGTCTGCCTGCCTCTAGTCTCTCCCCACTCCAAACCATCCTCCATTCAGCCACCCAAATGATTTTCTTAAATCATACCTAAAGCTCAGATCTGATCATTAAATTTCAATGGCTCCCAGGATCAAATCCAGAATCTGCCTGGCTCTTAGAACCCTTCATAATCTGGCTCCTTCCTCTCTTTCCAGGCTTCTTACATATTACTCCTCTCCATGCACTTTTCGATAGTGACACTAGCCTCTTTGCTGTTCTTCCATCAGGACCCTCCATCTCCCCAGATGGGAAATTTTTGCTGGCTATACCTGGAACTTTGTTTCTCCTCATTTCTGCCTCCTGGCTTCCTTCCTGTTTCACCTGAAATCCTGCCTGCATCAAAAAGCCTTCCCCGTCCTTAATCTTAATGCATTCCCCCTGAGATGGCCTCAGTTTATCCTCTATTTATCTTGCTTGTACGTGTTCTTCTCTCCCATTAGACTGGGAGCTCTTTGTCTCCCCAGTGCTTGGCACATAGCAGGTGCTTAATAAATCCTTGTTGCCTCCCTTTTCCCTCATAAGATACAGCCATAAAGCATCCCAGTTGGCTGTTGACATTCATAGATCAGCCTTTGTGTTGGGGTGTCTTGGGAATCGTTTGAATTCCTTCCATTTGCCAAATGCAATCCAGCCTATATTTCCTTCCTCCTATTCAGCTCTGGGCCTAGTACATTTCCAATTGCAATTTTTGTTGTTTGGTCATTTTTCAGTCATGTCTACCTCTTCATGACCCCATTTGGATTTTTTTTTTTTGGCAGAGATACTGGAGTGGTTTGCCATTTCCTTCTCCAGCTTATTTGACAGATGAGGAAACTGAGGCAAATAGGGTAAAGTGACTTGCCCAGGGTCACCCAGCTAGTGAGTGTCTGAGGCCAGATTTGAACTCCAATTACTGCTGCTGACCTAGACATAGAGGCTGATGGATCTATTCATTCATTCATTCATTCATTCATTCATTCATCTATTCCATAAGTATTTATTAAGTGCCTACCATTCACAAAGTGCTGTAGTGGGCAGTGAAGTATAAAAGACAAAAACAAACAAAATTAGGTGCTGGGGGAGAGACAGAATGTGGTGCATGGGGAACGGTGAGTAGGCCGGTTTGAGCAGACCCTACAGGTTTCGAAAGGGAGTGATGTGAAAGCAAGCCTGGAAAAGTCAGAAGGAGCCAGACTGCCGAGGGC